ATTTACAAATTGAGACGACCTTTTTGCACACCAAGAAGAGGGATTGGGAATCGATTTGAAAGAATGAGCTGATTGAAGTTTGGAGTTGTTTGAAACGAATGGCCAGCGGGATCGGGATGTGCTTAAACAGGGAAAGGATGACGAAATCGTTGTTCAGGATCTGCTACCGGGGGAGGGAGGCTTGAAGGATGGAGTTTGAACACCGAAGAGACTGTTCGAGTACCTCCGTGAGTGGTGCAGCCGAAAGATGCCTCGAGACTGCAGTCGCAGTTCCGCTGAGAGAACAAGTTGGGAAGACTTCCACGAGCTGAACCATCTGTTCTATGAATACTCGCTTCCCGATATCCGAACTCTAGGTCTGGGGAGATGTGCAATCCCCGGGATTGCGGTTTTCCCTCCTTTTGAGTTCCGTGATGACAACGGGCAGCCACGTTCCACATGAGTGCGAGGGATACCTTTTGAGGCTGAAAATGACGGGAGGTTGGATCTCTGGTAGCTCTGTCGATCTTGGCAGCTTGGGACGAGGCACTGCAGCAAGAGGACGTTGATCTACAAAGCCTATCGTCTAGGGCCCTACTATCGTCGAAACTCTGGTATCCCCATAAACGGTGTCAGACGGCGGGTCTGCGAGGCTCTCGGGAAGTTGGAAGTTGGGCGAAGACGAGAATAGCCTCTTGCCGCCCTCAAATTGAAGATCTTCCCTAGGATAAAAACGATAGACAGGTTCGGGTTGAGTTCTTGACTCAGTTGACATCTCCGGAAACTTGCTGCGAGACGATATCGAATAATCGAAAGCATGAGTCTTTTTCGGTCTTGGTGTAGAGCCAATCTCCGTGTGTATCAGACCGTTCGAGGACCCTGGTTTGAAACGTCTCTGCGACAGAGTTCGGTTGCGTCCGTCCCAAAAGGGGGGCGGGCGCTTGACACCAGCCAATGAAAGCAGTCGGCGCTCTCGTCTAACATCTTGGCGCATGGCAGAAATCAACTTCGAGCCTCAGGTCCACCCGTCAATTGTCAAACCGCCATCGAATTCCATCCAGGATCGGTGGATTCCAAGTCTCAACATCCACCCATTCCACCGCCAGCCAAACACCCGACTCAGCAAGAAACCCGTGGGGCCGTCGCACAATGTCACAATCACGACTGCCAGTCTGCCATCCACGATCGCACATAGCCCTACGGAGTACAGGAGGACAGGGCAACTGACTTCGGAGTCCAGGACTGGCACAATTCTCCGAGTCTCTGCCATGTCTACCCTCCCTTCCGTACGGTACCTTCTCACCCCACGATTTGTTTCGAGTCTCGACAAGGCTTCCGAAGCCTTCTTGCCAGAGGTCTGGAGTGGATGCAGCGGATGCTCAGACGTTCAGTCGAACGACATTTTGACTGGGAAGTTCGAACAGCGAATCACGCATGATCATGACGACCCGTTTTGCGTGGGCCACGACTCCTGAGGCCCTCGATTTTGCTCTTCCTTACGTTACCCGCTTCCTCCTTCACCCATGCGAAAGTACATGCGCAGGTACATGCTCAGGTACATACTCTGCCCTGCCTAGTCTTTCCTATCTGTTTCTCTTTTTGCTCCTGCTCTTCTCCTCTCGCACGCCACACAATTCATTGACTTTCTTAATTGTATCGCTGAACTGGAAGCAGCCAACCAGTGCAGGCATTGCGTACAGGTATGTAGCCTTGAGACACTACTTGTCCTTCCTCTCATCTCGTTTCCAGTCAAACAGCCACTGTAGATCTCCTCTTTCGTGGGCGCAGCTTCATACAATGCTGCTGTCTCGGGACCAACACTGACTGTCGCTCTCTCCTTCTAGGCTCTTTACTCCACGTTCATTCCAACAACTTACTTTCTCTTCTCTCATTTGGAGGCTTCTGTCATATCAGCAGGCTCTGAATGATATCGAACCATTTTAATCTCTCGCAACCCAGCTACGAGTAATCAGGAAAGGAGGATCGGGACGGAGGGTCGATTGCAAGAATCAGAGGCGATACGAGCCTGGAGAGTCGAGTCGAAGCGCATTCAAGATGGATCCCAGAGCGAGCATATCGTCGACAAGAGTGACGGAAAGATCAAGATGGCCTCCTTTGACGCGAATGTTGATGTCGGGAGAGATGAGTGGTGAACGTCCGAAGGAACTTAATGCGAGAGAACGATTCGACCGATGGATGGTGAACGAGGGATACCGAAGATTGTGTGTGGCATCGTAAGGATCAAGAGGAACTCTGGCTAATGGTGTGGTAGTTTTGTCATCGTGTTCGCCGCCATTCATTTGATGGTCTTCTCTTTCGGTTTCATGAATTATCAGATCAAGGACAACTTGACGCTAGCACGAAGTACGTTCGGACTCACGTATCCTATAGCGAGATCAGCGGCCTTGACATTACATTTCGATGTTGCCATGATTCTGTTCCCTGTGTGTCGGACACTCATTTCGTTGGCTCGACAAACACCTCTCAACGGTATCATACAGTTCGACAAGAACGTTACCTTCCATATGACCACCGCCTGGTCGATCGTCTTCTTCTCCTGGGTTCACACCATTGCGCATTGGAACAACTTTGCGCAAATCTCGGCCAAGAACAACTTGGGAATTGGTGGATTTCTTCTCGCGAATTTCGTAACTGGCCCTGGATGGACGGGATATATCATGTTGGTCGCCCTTATGTGCATGGCCCTCACATCCTACGAGAAGATGCGACGTGCAAACTTCGAGCGATTCTGGTACACCCATCACATGTTCGTCGTGTTCTTCGTCTTCTGGTCGATCCACGGAGCCTTCTGCATGATCCAACCTGATTTCGCTCCTTATTGTGTCGGCATCGGATCGTCAGCCATCGGGGTCTTCTGGCAGTACTGGATGTATGGGGGATATATTTATCTGGCGGAGAGAATCGCCCGTGAGATTCGTGGCAAGCACAAGACATACATCTCCAAGGTCGTCCAGCACCCTAGTAACGTTTGCGAGATCCAGATCAAGAAGGAGAACACCAAGACGAGAGCTGGTCAATACATTTTCTTCTGCTGTCCTGAGGTCTCGGTATGGCAGTACCATCCTTTCACCCTCACCTCGGCGCCAGAAGAAGATTACATATCGATCCACATCCGAATGGTCGGAGATTTCACCAAAGCCGTTGGCCGAACTCTTGGTTGCGAACTTGATAAACCAAGAGGAGGGGAGAAGAAAGATGCATCGCAGGTTGTGGGTGTCAACGCCAATGCGCCTGGAACCGAGACAGTCGACCCAGCCATCCGAAGGGTCCTCCCCCGTGTCTACATCGATGGGCCATTCGGCTCGGCCTCCGAAGATGTCTTCAAGTATGAGATTGCCATGCTTTGCGGTGCTGGCATTGGTGTCACTCCTTTCGCCTCCATCCTGAAATCCATCTGGTACCGCATGAACTACCCACAGAAGAAGACTCGTCTCAGCAAAGTCTATTTCTTCTGGATTTGCCGTGACTTTGGCTCCTTCGAGTGGTTCCGCTCCCTTCTCCTCGCCATCGAAGCCCAGGACATGGACAATCACATCGAGATCCACACCTACCTCACAGCCAAAATCAAGGTCGATGACGCGACGAACATCATGATCAACGACGCAAACGCGGATCGCGATGCCATCACTGGTCTCCGGGCGCCGACGAACTTTGGCCGACCGAACTGGGATATGATCTTCAAGAGCGTGAGGAAGATTCATACCCCAGCTGAGGCGGGTGTTTTCTTTTGTGGTCCTAAGGTTTTGGGTAGTCAGTTGCATATCAAGTGTAATATGTATAGTGAGCCAGGTAAGATTTCCCCTCCTCACCACCACCCTCCAGGAATCCATTTACTGATGACATGAATAGGCTTCTCTTTCGCGTGGGGTAAAGAAAATTTCTAGACGGGCGACTTTGCTTTTGGATATTTCTCCTCTTTCATCTTTCACGAGCGCGCTTATCACCCAAAAAATATTCCTCTTGGGTCACACCAACCGGGATGTTAGTATATAGATAGAAAGTTCTTTCCCGCTTGGATTTTACAACTCCCCTACTACGGATGAGGGGCCTCGGTTTACTATGTGGATGGATGCATGGAAATGATTGTCGGATTATATATATCTTGGGCAGCGCAGCGCGCGTGATCACACCCCATCATTTATCTATCTCTATGCATATTATAGCGAATGTGGTTTGTTTTTGGTTGATCTCTTTGCACACCCTTGCTCTCGTTTTCAAATGTGCGGGTGATTGATTGTATGTAGATGCCATGGGGGTAGGGGGAAGGGCTACTGAGTATATATTCTGGTGTGGTTGGTTGGATGTAGTTGAAAGGGGAAATTTTGTTTGTTGCGATGGCCACTAGATTTTTAATATATTCCTACCTTTCGCTTTTTAGGTTGCTTTTTGATAGTGAATTGCCTAGGTGGTGGAGGGTGGTTCCGCAAGGGTATAGGGGCTGGCTTCCTATTAATTCACTCTTCACTGCAAGACAAGAGTTGGCTTACGTGTAGTAGCTTAGCGAGCATTCAATGCATAGCATTGCGAACTAGCCAGCCTGCTGACTATTGCGTTGGCGGCGCAGCGGTAGTTGTGTTGTTCAAGGTACAGTGGAGCGGGAGGAAGAGCTTTTGAAGAGCTGGCAGTTAGGTTGGTATGTATCGAACTGTGGATTGTTATTCATAGGAATTTGTGGGGTGCATAGATCTTTATGCTCGTTTCTCTTTGGGAATCACTGCCGTGGTACCTCCTCTAGTTGGTGTTTACCTAGATCGACGTGGCAAAGGAGAATAATACATGGCAGCAAAATAATGCAACCCAACTCTCCACCCTCAACCACAGACTCCTACCACCCTGCTAAGACGAAGCATCTCCTCCTTGCTTCAACCTCCCAATAGCCACAAATATCCCGATTCCATCGATCCCCCCCCCCCCCCTTCCCTCCGGAGAGGACATCACCCCCGTTTCTCCTTCAGAAAAGGCAAAAAGAAGATGGTTTGTATCCCAATGAAGGGGGACATAGGCCATACCGAGAATCGAACTCAGGTCTCGGGAATCAAAATCCAACGTGCTAACCAGCTACACTACTCGTATACGACCCATGAATAGGCCGCTGTAATTGGATTAGGGGCCAATGGGGCGGGCGGTGGATATCATCGGTGGGGACTATACACTCACAGTCAACTAGTAGTAATACTCGGCGCGAGCACACACCGTTCTGACACCCAAACTCGGGACTCAGAGCCGTCAGACAGGCACTTGACCAACCAACCATAATAACATTAGCCTATCGTAAACCCGGCTTGGCCAACAGTGATATTATAATCGGAGGATACCGCGAGCCTCCCTAACATTTCCAATCTATTAAACGACATGGCCGCCACTTATTATATCGCTTCCAAGTAAAATGCGCTCCGTCCTTTCAGGATGGATAGGTCAAGCGTACGGAGGAGTAGCAGGCCATCGAAAGCCCCTCCCGAGGGGCCACTGCCGTGGAGGCCTTGGTTCGCTACGCTCTGACATGCTATTAAAACAGGTGGTTTACAGCCAGGATACTATATTTCGAGCTATGCGCGGGGGTCGCTTTCAGAGGGCATTCGACTTCGCGGGATTTCCCCCGCTGTTGACGGTATTTTCTTGTCCCGGGGTCTTTGAGGTTTAAGACCCAAGAGCGTCGGACGATTTGCACCGTACCGGTAGGTTTGGAAGTGTTCCCGACAAGGCAGCTAACGCAAGCGACTAGAGTGGTCTAGTTGGGATGGGAAGTAACAAGAGGGGACACCCTTCCTTTAGATGCTGTGCGCTCTGTGCTGTTCATATCATGTTGGTAGAGGATAATCGAGAGAATATCCTACTACCTGACGGATAGGTATTCTTGGCTGAGGCAAGGAGGTCTCGATGTGTTCCATAGTCCTGGACTGATACACAAGAATGGAAGAAACAAACCAACCAACAAACAAGCCGTGTTTTCTTTCCTTCGAGGCGGAAAGAAATAGGGGCGCGCTTATTAAACGAGAATCAGACCGCCACACGACAGCTGCCCTTGGGCGGAACAAAGAGAGCGGCGGCCAATCGCGAGGCTGTTCCTCCCTTTTCGGGAACAGCCCGTCTCGTGAGCTGAACCTTGGCGTCCAGAGTTGGAGAGTGGGGATCGAATCGTAGATGTATTTATTTATGCGGCTCGTCTATGGTCATTGACGGCGCTCAATTATTCGGCTCTCTCTGGCGTCATGTGCGGCTCCTGCAACCTTAACTCGTATACGGGTTCGTTGAAATGAAACCAGTCGGGAGCGTAGAATCCGGAACCAACTAGTACTGTACGACGCGCGGAAATCGCGACGTGTGATACGCCATACTTATTGCTACGCATACCGAATCAGAAGATGGTCTTTCAACCGCGGAGGAGCGAGTCGTGGTCACGTGTGAGAAGGAGAAGGAACCTGAGCTACGCTTGAATCACGGGAGGCCATCTACTTCCTGTACTTGTACTAGATCTTGCCCTGCCGAGATCTAGGGGATCGTCCCGCCCCGCGTCGTCGAAACCGGAGCCCCATTCATTCATTCATTCATTCATTCATTTAGTCATTCATTCCCTTTCCCAATCTCGCTTCTGGCGCCGCCATGCTAGCGCCGTGGCCATCCGTCAGCCTCGAGTTTTCCTCACAGTCCCTCTCGTCCCCCTCCCCGTCCCACAATAATATCTCGCTTGCCCGCCAGGCCCAATGCTCTCCTCACCCACAAACCTCCTCCCTCCCCCCCCCTCACCCCACCAACCGTTCTGTCTTCTATTGAAAACGCCAGGAAGTCGTCATCCAATAGGAGACAAGCATCCTCCGTGGCGCAATTGGCTAGCGCGTTCGACTGTTAATCGAGAGGTTCCTGGTTCAAGCCCAGGCGGAGGAGGAGTAGGCGGGGGGTTTTTCCTCCTGGGGAGTTCGTTTTTTTTGGGGGAGGCGTGGGAGGCGGAGGGGTTTTCTCCCCCGGGTTTTCTGGACGGAGAGGCGCGCGTATTCTTGCGTGGGAGGGCACGTCGGGCCTTGGTATTTCGTGGGTTGGCTTTCGACCCCGTGGAACCGCCCCTCTACTCGTACTGTAGGCTCACTCACGGGGAGGGGGGGCTTGGTATGGGTCTGGTCTGGTTCGCGTCGTGGTCTGGGGCTCACGGGCTGATGGGCGTGGGTGGGTGGTTTCCGTCCCAAGGAAGGCGTGGGTCACATATTCGCTTAGTCCCGTCGGGGCGAAGGGAAAAGGGGGGAGCGTGGCTGCTAGAAGACGAATTCAGATATCTCAAATCTTGTCCTCGGCACCCCGACGCAACCCCGTTTCGTGTACACCGGTGGACCTAATTCCAGCGCGTTGCTGTCTCATAGTAGGGGGGGGGGTGGTGGTTGAGTGAAAAAGTGTACTTACTTACTATTCACTGTACTGTACGTCCTCGCAAACCCAAGCCGGAAATCCATCTCGCGTCCCTCGCACCCGTCGTTGGAGAGAGAGCCGGGCGATATTCTTCCGAGATAATAGCTCCCCGCCTCATCCGCATGGGGTCAAAGGGATCGGAGTTGTATCCAGGTTCTCTACCATTGGTCCCTTCCGGAAGCAACTCGATGCCGCCCATGCCCGTGGCGAGGCTTCGTTTTTGCGGGATGTGCTGTCGTTAAAGGAGGGAGGTGGTCTTCTGCGGGTTAACAGGAGGGACGTTACAACCGAGAGACAGATAAAATAAAACGAGAAGTGGGATTTGTCAATTCCCTGCTGGTTGGAGACCATCAACACCAAGATCCGAACACGTTGAATCTCACTGCGGACTCTATATAGGGCAGACAAGTATCTTCATGTGTCGTGTACTTCGGCTTGAATTGCCTCGTCGTTCGAAAACCTAACCCGTGTTCTGTTGGTCCCAACTATTTAGCACAGCCATCCCTAGATACCCACCCAATCTCCATCTTGCCCGTTTAAGAAGAAAACGACATGTTGTCATGATCGTCGAAGTTCCGCGAGGACAGACTTCCCATGTGACTACTGTGTTGGTTTCTTATATAAACCCCATCTTCCTTCCCACTTCCCCTTCCCTTCTTCCCAAACACAAGTGTGAATATTCTGCCACTTGCTTCTTCACATCCAACCCGATCTTCCCATTTATCCACACCTGCTTTCAAACCGCCCTAGTCCAACTTTCCAACCCGTCAACCGCGATGCACCCCCTCCTTCTCCTCCCCCTCCTCCTCCCTACCATCATCGCCTCCCCCACCCCGGACGCCCCTCTCGCCCCCCCTTGGCAGCTCGCCTTCCACGAGAGCCGCGACTGCGACGCCCCTGATGTCGGCGGCAGCGCTAGCTTCGGCGGCAATGGAATCTCGAACTGCATCAACCTCGCCGACAAAGCTCCCGGTCGCACCTTCGCAAGCGTGGACACCAGCGGGAAAGAGCTCTCCCCGGATCTTGAGGTGCATGTGTATGCGATTCCGAATTGTGAGGGGCCACATTGGAGAGTGAGGGGGGGGTCGAAGTGTACGGCCACGTGGGTGATCTTTCCGGGGTGGATGAGCTATGATGTTCAAGCTGCGTGAGGCGGGGTGGGGAGGGATCGCCGAGCAGGGGAGGTGGGGTGAGAGGAAATGGAATGTATGGCGCCTAGTATGTTGAGATGTGGACGACCTGGATGTGTGTTCTGTCCCTATTTGCAGCGATCAGAGTATCAACAATCAATGGGAGAAAATCTCTCGCTTAAAATCCCCCTGAGCCACAGCGTGAAGCGACCGAGTGATTCTAAACATGGCAAGGGAGGTCGTGACTAGGACCACGGATATAAATATGATCACATCTTAGTGGCAGACACGAAGCCACGGCCGCTCAGAAGGATATCTTTGACAACTCTCAAGACCAACGGAACACCCTTCAATTCCAAGAACTGTGCCTCGGTCGCTTAATCAGACAGGCAGTCTTTTGAGGTTCGGAACGCCAAGTAGCACACTCATTCGATCCAAGGTACAGCACAGTGAGCATCTTGGAAGATGTGTCCAACTAGGCGGCGAAAAATTCCATCACAGAGTTTCTCCTGACACGCTGGTATCATTCCGCTACCTCGCATTGAGAGAAACAGCGTCGTAGACTTGAACATTGGCATCCGATTGCCCGTGACGGAGGAATTAGAGCAAAAGCACCCCAGCAACAAATTGATGCATGGGATCGCGAAGGACCGTCATGGAATGAAGCTCGAAAACCATGGCAATAAAGGCAGGAGTATAAAGTCACAAAGGAGTCTCGTGATGAGCTAAATGATAGCTCCGCCTACCACTGCGCCTCGCGACGTGACGCGAAGAATAGCAACATCGAGTTCCCTATTCCGATCGAACCTCTTGCCGCGCAACTGACTTCTCTTGTCGCATACGCCTGAAAGGCAAATGATTCTTACCAACAATGTCACTGACACCACCTTTCTCAAAGGACGCTGCCTTTGGTGTTGATAGCTGGGCTAGTGAGCTACCAGCCTCAATCATTCTGAAGGAGAACTTTCTCTATCTCAGTCACGACGTGAAGGCCTGGATGGGCTCAGAGTTGCGCTATGCAACCTCACTTGTGGCTCGCTGGGTTGCCTCGAGCCGGACGACCGTTGCACCGCTAACTCATCCTCGGCCGACAAGTACACCTCACCGAGGACCCGAATGTGCATCTCGTTTGGTACAGGCACAAGCTGTTCCTCAAACCACTCCCTGACTTCATCTTCGACTTTGAAGCATGGAAGACATATCTGTGACGACAAATTGCTACACCAAAGTGCTTCCGGCATTCTGCTCTCGTACACGTGGCTCATTCAGCACCTCAGAGACTTCGACCTCGCGGTCGAAAACCAGCCATTGTCGCCGGTCGTGGCTTGGAAGGTGTGGAACAGCTATATTGCATCCTTTCACCAAACCATCGGGGTGACCTCTCCAGGACGCCGCAATGGCAGATACCATCATGGCGAATTGCGGTTGAGTCGGCTCAACACCTTGTATCGCATCATCCCCTCGGCGTTTTCTCGCCATCATTTCGCCCAAGGCTTCATATCAAACTCTTCATGGCACAAAGCATTTTTTACTCGTCACTTCGCCTAGCTCTTT